TTTCTAGCCTGCTTTTCTAACTTACATTATACTGTTTCTCTTTAACTACATATTACCTCTGGGATTTTTACTTTTTAAAAATTCTGTATATTCTTTCTTTCCTTCTTATTCCATGGCTAGCTGGGTGGCTGGGTGGCTGGATGGCTGCCCCTGGCTCCTCTCCTTTTTTCTCGCTCTTCACTCTTCTCTGGAGCCTAGAGTTTTCCTCCTATGTATTCTCTCTACCTGACAGCCCCACTTCTCCATCTTCTGTTCAGCTATTGGCCACTCAGCTCTCTATTAGACCAATCAGGTTTTTAGGCAGGCAAAGTATCACAACTTTGCAGAATTAAACAAATGCAATATAAAAGAATGTAACACATCTTTGTATCATTAAACAGATAGTCCACACCATAAGCAAATGCAACACATATTAAACTAATATCCCTCAACAATATTAGTTGGCTAAAAAAATGGGCAGGAATGGAGGCTCCTACATGGATGGGACAGGTAAATTTGATGTGTTACCTTGGAGTTAACAATTTGTCAGTATCTAGGGAATGCTAATATATGCTTTTTATATCACTATCAACATTTATATCACGGATAAACTCTTCAAACTCTTTACAATTGCATCCAGCAGATAGAACCAATAAGTGGAAGCTGCTTGCATCTTAAAAATTCCAGTGATACCTGTAAGAATTGCCAAGATCAAAAACACTGATAACAACTTATGCTGGAGAGGTTGTGTTGTAAGTGGAACACTTATGCAATGCTGGTGGGAGTGCAAGCTGGTACAGCCCCTTTGGATGTCAGTGTGGCAATTTCTCCGAAAATTAGGAAACAACCTTCCTCAAGACCCAGTAATACCACTTTTGGGTATATATCTAAAGGATGCTTAATCGTTTCACAAGGACATGTGCTCAACTATGTTTATAGCAGCATTGTTTGTCATAGCAAGAACCTGGAAACAACCTAAATGCCCTTGAACCAAAGAATGGATAAGAAAAATGTGGTACATTTACAGAATGGAGCACTACACAACAGAAAAAAATGATGACATCTTGAATTTTGCAGAAAAATGGATGGAGTTAGAAAACATCATATTGAGTGAGGCAACTCAGACCCAGAAAGACAATTATCACATGTACTCACTCATAAGTGGTTCTTAAACATAAAGCAAAGAAAACCAGCCCACAAATCACAATCTCAGAGAACCTAGACAACAATGAGGACTCTAAGAGAGACATACATAGATCCAATCTACATGGGAAGTAGAAAAAGACAAAATCTCCTGAGTGAATTGGGAGCATGGGGACCTCGGGAGAGGGTTGAAGGGGTGGGGAGAGGCAGGGAGGGGAGCAGAGAAAAATGTAGAGCTCAAGAAAAATCAATTAAAAAAGGAAAAAAAGAAAAAAAATCCCAGTGATAAAAGGTCAAAGTACATAATGATATATGCCTATAGCCACTTCAGAAAATTCTATCTCAAGGGGCAAGGAGATGAATCTTATAAATATAATAATCCATAAAATCTGAAGTATTACGCATATCATTACTGAAATGTGGACATGAGGTAAATGTAGTTTTTTAAATGACAAGGAGTATATATGACAACTGCAAGATTGTGGTTAACACTGAGTGAAGGAGTAAAGAATTCAGTTTCGAAGAATATGTATGATAGCATCTGTCATGTTTCATTGGTTAAAAAAAAGATATGAACCATGTAAGGGGAAATGCTGATATTAAGGAATTCTGATGTTCATTAATAGCTGTTTGTTATGTTTTATGTTTTCCTAGGTAATTTCCAGGCATTTATGAAATACTTTGTTTAATAAAAACATGGTTGAATCATAACTGAGATTTTAGATTAAGAGGTAGGTCAATTCTAGGCTGGAAAAAGTTAATACAAGAAAATGTCAATTCTGTCACTAAGATTTTGTGGTTTCACAATCTGATTGAGTATCGGATTTGGAAATTCTCTTAATGATTGTTCTTGGTTGTTTCCAGGAGAAGATCCAAGGAACTTCTGGGTGCTTCCAGTAATGTTTGCATTTTCAAGACTTGAATTTGGCAAACGAATAAAGACAAGGAAGATGAGGTCAGTAGAAGAAGACGTAGAACTCAGTCTATTTGAAAGAATGACTCAGAGTTGATTTGGAATTAGAAGGAAAATAAGAGAAGGTGTTGAAAGATGAGTACAAATTTTGTCTTTGCAAAGACATAGATGAGTGGTCTAAGGTAAAATGTGTTAGCATGTGCCTCAATATTTTAGTTCAAGAATGCCATTTTCCTCTTTTTTAATACCAAGTCAAGCCAAAGCCAAGTCAAACCAAATTAAACAAAAACCAAGTTCGAATAAAGATTATTAAAATGAGAGCTTGCTTCATGTTCCATATGTCATATAATATGTGGTGTAAGCATACAAGGAAACAACTTATTAAAATGAATTTAAACTAAACACTTACCATTGCAAAAAACATTGACTCCAAAAAAAAAAAAGCACTGGGAAATGTATGACGAATTCACACAATTCAGAAGCACTACCAGTATTGCTCGTGGAAAATCAAACTACTAGAAATGTCACTTAGGGTTACATTCTACGTCGTAGAAGAAGCAACCACACTCTAAACATGCCCTGGCGCATTTACAACCTTTTAAAAACACATTTATAAAATTCCCATTTTTCCTTCCACCCATTTATAAAGCATTTTATAAAATACTTTACAATGATGTAAAGAGCACACTTTAATATGACTCTTCCTTGTCATAAAAAGAGAAGAATGTTTAATGTTCCCAGGGATGGCTGGGGTTGCGCAGTATGATGTGGGAGGAGGTTACCATAAAAGAATTGTAATTTTAGATGTTAAAAATTCTGAATTTCAGGAATTGACTGGATTTCCCTTGCACACTTTGGAGGGGCTCTCACATCCAGCAGGAGATTTTTTCCCCCCACATTCTGTACTGTCCTGGGTGGGGGCCAGTGTTTAATGGCCTTACCTCTTGTCTTCTACACACCAAGATGGAAGTTGTGTCTTCCAGTTTCTAAATAGCAGGATGGAGATTTAGACTATATAGTTGGAGGAGAACCCCACGGGTTCTGATTTTAGACCTGCTCCTGGCAAGATGTGGCAATGTGAGTTCCTGATTTCTCTCAGAAAACACACACAGTACATTCAGAAAACACGTCACCTATTTTATGGCCCCAGGTCACTGTTAATTGTACCGTACTTAATTTTGGTAACAGACACTCCAAATGTTGCAAGTTAAAAATACTCATGAACCTTAGAATTAAAGGCAGATGGTTCCAATAGAAACACAGAAAGTCAGTGCTTTTTTTAGCCCAAGGCCAAGTTTTAGAGACTGATAATCACCATGAGAAAGAGAATGTCTATTCTCTAATAAGACAGCACTAGATGATAAATAGGAGCAGAAAAGACATCTCAAACAATCCTAAGCACACCTTACACAGTTCTGTAACACAACACGAGTGCTGGATGATTCTAGATCAGAATTCCTTGAAAGGTAAAGATTATCCATTCAGGCTTAGTCTGATGGAATTTGTTAGAAAAAAAAAGTTAGTAATAGTGATGAATACAGTGTTCAAAGGGATTCCATTTACCCCCGATGGGTTGGTCCTTTCTTAATTTTACCACAGTTCAATGAGCCTCTTTATTCGATCCCCATAAATCCAATTTCATCTTACTTTATTTCTGTCAACTTTTCCTATGACACAAATGAGTTAAAGGAGGGGAAATTTGCCTTTTTATTGGGATGGGCGGACACAAATGGGAAAATCTGTTTTATTTAATTTGGTGAACAATTTCTTAATTATATATCATTAAGTGTCTTAAAAAGTCTTTAATAAAATTGTCTTAGCTATATACATAATATTCTTCCTATTCCCCCTGTTTTTCAAATAAAAAAGAGAAGAAGGACAAGCCAGGGAAACACATATTTATTGAGCCAGGCACTGAGCTGGGGATTTTCCATAACAACACAAATAGAAATATAATGACCATATTATTCTGGGATCGCTAAGATTTTGTTCAGCAAGCAATATTTTTGGCATGCAGTAAAAATGATGTGAGAGAAATTAGCATAATTTTTTGTATTATTGACAATGATTTAACATGTTGTTCGTTCAAAGTGGATAGAGGCAAATGGATAAATCCGTGAAAACCAGGAAGCACAGCATACAATAACCCAAGATCCACAGAGTGAAAAATGTAAGAAACAAATCATATGTGCTGAGCAGTGTATAATCCTTTAATACTAAAAGAAAGAAAGCAGACACCACAGCAGTGACACAGAGAAATGAGCCTTTAAAATCAGAACAAGATTATTTCTGATAAATGGCTGACTCTTCCCATGCCATAATATTTTTGATGGTTAAAATCAAACCAAGGGGTTATTTATTTCTTGGGAGTCTGGGCAAATTAAATTACAAATTCATAATTATAGATCTTCTAGCAGCAAAAATTCTTCAAGAAAAATCACTTTAGCAACATCCATGAAATTCTGTTCATTTGCATTTCAAACAAGAAAATAGAACTAGGGGAGGCAAAGAAAATAAACACTCTACCAGCCAGGCACTGTGTTGGATATTTCAAATATAGTGACATAAATTATAATGACTTTGACCAACCACCTTGAAGTGACTCACTGATAGGGGAAAACTTGCAATCTATGATTTTTTAAAAAAAATTCTGATGACTTACTGTGTGGTCTTTCTGCACTTTACTCATCAGCCAATGTCTACAAAATATCAAAATGTAAAAATGGTTATTCATAAAACCTAGCACAAATCTGTAAAGTAGTGAGTTAGAAGATTTATTATCAGGTTAAAAATGACAACATTAGTAACCACTTCTAATTTCCCACTTCAAGGCTGAATTTTGCTTGGCATTTTATAGGGAAAGAGCAAGAGAGAGGTAGAGGCAGCTTTGGAAACAGGGAGCCGTATGCTACAGCGGAGTCGTTGCTTCAATATGGCTTTACAAAGGAATGATCACTCAACAGGCTGTGTCTGAATTGCTTTGGTTTATATGAGACTCTCACATTGTTTAAAATTATTGATTGAGCACAGAAGCAAGTCTCAAGGTGCAAAGAACACACCGAAATGACACGAAGCAAAGCCAAAGGTTGACATTTCACTAGTTGGTGGATTGTACTTTAAACACATTCGAAGCTCAGGTCAGCTATACAATGACATACAGTATCACTTACAGACAAAGATGAAGGAAAAATCAGAACATTCACAGTTTTCAACAGAAATATATGATTGCATATACGATTACAGATTTTTAAATTTTGTTTTATAGACATAGACATAACTATACTGAAATTAGATACAATTAGATTGTAAGTCATTAAATAATGATTTTCATTTGTATTACATGGTAAATTTACAACATGAGGATTTCAATATGGCGTATACTGGTTTTGAACCACAAAAAGCAATATAGTGTAAAATAACATATACTTAGGAGTGTCACATGAGAAATATAACAAATATTCCATCAACACCAGTCCAAAGATAAGATGTGGTATCTTTCATTCCTAACTATAAGCAGCTTTGAAGGAAAGTCATTAGGATGGGGAAGGGAGGTAGTTTTAAAAATTCAAAATACTTTCCTCAGGAATTTAGTAAAACAAATAATTTTCAGAGGTATTTTTGCTATATAGTTTTTTTTCCATTTTTGATAATGTGGTAAAAAGGCTGCCTTTCCAATTTGCAAAATGTGTACAGACAAACCAAGCCTGTATTTTTAAGTTTATCTAGGTGGGCATAAATTGACCATAACTATTAAAGTTTATGTTTGATAGTACAAAGGCTTTTAAGTTTTTTCTTCTCTTTTTAAATGGCAGTAGATAAAGATTAATTAATATCCCAAGCTGACCTGTGAGTCCCTTTGCTCATTGGCTAGACCATCCAGATGGGTGTCTTTCTACTCTACGTGTCTCAGTGCCTTCTAACTTGAAATAAAAGGAGGTGGTGTGAACAGGAGAGCTGTCAGCTCATGGTCTTATGAGTTGTGTATGTCTCTTAGCAATTAACTCATAATTGCATGTAGATTTACCATTTTCAGTTAGAAATGAATTGATGTACACTCTCCATTTCGTGGGATTCTGATATGTCTCACACTTTGGCACGTTCCATCTTCTACCCTTTCCCTCCACTGGAAGCTGATACCATGCAGAGCTCAAACCCAAAGTTACCTTCTTGGAAAATAAAAGACTGAGGAGAAAATTCCCATGTGATTCATGGGTGACATGTCTAATTAATCATAAGAAAGGATTGTAATTATAAGTAGATTATAAGCAATTATAATTAGATCATAAACTCTGAAGCAAAAAGCCTGTATTTTAAAGTTTCTCTTTAAGACTGTCAATACCTACTCATCAAGATAGCTTAGATTTCTTAACAAGTTACCAGGTTGAATCTTTAAGCAAGTATGTATCTAAATGGAGTTTTACTTATGATTTCAGTTCAGGTTTGTGTTTGTGGGAAGATTTAACAATTGGTCCATCTTATAAAGATCTAAATTCATGTTTATGGATAATTTTGTTCCTGTTGACCCCAAGTTTACTACTACTCTACATTTTTAATCTTTAGGGAGAATAACAGGTCCCGGATAGAGGGACTGAGAAGGTTTTTAATTATGCAGAACGGAAAGAAGCAGAGACGCAAGGGTTCTGGTCTACCTAACTTGGAGAAATGGATCTCAGTTTTCTGCTAAGTATTTCTACACACAGTCTCAGGCATCCACTGCCTAGGTCAAGGGCATGTCAGTAGTGGAATCTGGACTTTTCATCTGTAGTCTTAGATTTTCCATAATTCATGAAAATTAACTCAAAGACAGACCTAGAAAAAGTCTTAGAAACATTTTTTTTGAGGGTGTCAATCTACTTAACTAAAGAGAAGAGACCAGTGGCCAGAATCAGAAGAGAGGATCAGGGTCATGCAGCCTCGTTAGCAACAGTGATGCAACCTAGAACTGGACATGGAAGGCTCAGCAGCATCAATGTTGTGCTTGAGCCAAAAGTCAGAAAAGAAACCCGGTTCAATGAAGTACACACAAGGCTTTCATCCATGGCAAACTGGGGGATAATTCAACGTTATTACTACTTTTCCGTCTATGTACAGAGCTCCAAAGTATACATCTTGTCCTCTGCAGGGCTTGGCATACGATCCAGTGTCATTCAAGAGCGCATCAACATTTTGTTTCAGAATGGAAAGTTTTGAGTCATGGGCTGGCAGGCTTATCTCCAATCACACTTAGGCAAAGTGATTGACACTATTCCTTTCAGTTCTGCGACGATTCAATTAAACGACACACAGAAATCTCTGCATATTTTGCTGGTTAGTCTTTAGCTCATTTTGTCATCCCTTTTTCTGGCTGCTCTTTTCTTTATCTCTCTGTTTAGTTAAAAGAAATCCATTTAAGGTAAAATTCACTTTCCAATCAATGCACTTTTCTTCCAAAATGAAGGCTTTTTTTTTTTTTAAAAAAAAAGGTAAAGAAAGGCACTTTGTAAAACATACAGATCTGTTTCTTTCTTGTCTGTGTGAGATTGAAGTTGCTGAAGGCAGACCAAGTCATTTTGCAAATGATGGGACAGCAGATGGAAGCCGAATTAAAAGAAAAATGAGAAAGAAAGAATCTAGGTTTCTGTTTGGGCAGACTTTCCCCTGGAGCTCAGGTCCTTTGATTGCTCATTAACTGACAATTCACCAGTTCTCTTGGATCGTGTCAAGCAAAGCGTCTCCCAGGTTTGAGCTGACATACGCAGCAGGAGCTTGCCTGCTTCCCCTCAGACGAGTTTACAACGAATCATTAACCTACAACTGACTACCAGAACTGGTCTCAGGCACTTAGGAGAATGTATCATCTATTAAAAATCAGTGACACAGCTGATGGTAAGTTGTGCTCATATTGAAGTTCTTTCTATGCATTTGTTAAAACCTGTCATAGACTATTTTGCCATGTGTGTCCCAAAGTTCCTTCAATCATCCATGGGATATATTCAGTTTCCACGTACTTCATAACATGAGTTCTTAGGAAGTTGCTTACAAAACTACAATTTTTTTGTGGTTCAGAGCAAAAGGTTCTTTAATCTACATGTACAATGGTTATTCATAAAATATGGTGGTGGGAAAACAGCTAACAACCAAATACAAGAACAGAGATTTGAGGCTGTTGGCTCCATGCAGGAATGAGCATGACTTGACACATTAAAGGTGATTTTTCTAAAGAGCAGTGTCTTATTTTCTGTGTCTTTCTTAGCTCGACACCTTAATCTCTGCACACATATTTGCACATGATCTTAAAGGCTGACTTATACTGTGTATGTGCAATGCATGAAGACAAACAGGTGCTGAGATTTGAAAGGGTGAAGCAGAAATGAGCACATCGGTGAAGGTGACTGCATTTCTATATCTGTCTCACCACTTAATTAAGATGCCCGCGATCGGCTCAAATTACTTAGTGAGTCATAGAGTCAAGGCTACTGGCTATTTGTCCAATATAGTCAGGAAAACTGAAATCCAGAATAGGCAATTGGACTTTCCAAGGCATAGCAGGACTAGAACCCAGGTGTCTCGAGCCCTGGCATTCATTCTGTCGCTCAAGCAGCTGTCTTTCAACAGAAAATATTTTATCATAAAGATTCTAATAAACAAATAGATCTATAAATTTTATTTTATTTCATGAATGTATATTTTTGTTGGATGAGATTTGTCTTGAGACAGTCATATGTTTTATCTATGCAAATTATATATCAGAAGCAGATTTTTAAATTTCCAACTATGAGTAGAACATGCACTATCAGTTCTATAGTGGTCATAATTTGTAAATAAATGCATATATTTATCTCCTGGAGAAGAACAGAATATGTTGGGAAAGGCTTAGTTTGTACTGTTTTTGAAGTTTCTTTGTCAGTAGTTTTCAAGATGAACTAGATTCGTTGGCCCTCTTGGAAGTTGTATGTATTTTGCATGTCATTCTCTCACGTGACTTCATATAAACGTCATCATTATGTAAATCTTAAATAAGAGCTTTATTCATGCTTTCTCTTTGCATACAGTGTTGTTTATTTCAAGTTAAATAGACTTGCTCCATACTTTCCAAGAGAGGGGCAAAAAAACCTTTCATGGAAATGGTCATAGAAAACAATGCTTCTCCAGATTGAGTGTGCACGTGAGTCATCTTGGCATTTAGCAAAATGCAGACTCCAATTCCATATGTATTCGATGAGACTTGAGATGCTGAAAACAAAATTTCCAAGTAGTGCCAAAGCAACTGGTCCTCAGACGTTCACTATGGAGGATTCAGGGCACTGAAGGAGCTTGAACAGCATTGCCAAATGCTTCTGTTGTCCACAAGATGTTTATGTTTGGGGAAAATAGGCTTCAGGGGTTTGCATTTGCAGTCCTGAAAAAAGTGTGTTTACTCTCAGGCATCAAGGAATCTCTTGAGTGCGTTTTCTACCAATATGTGCTTGTTGGATGAACTTCACAAGAGGTGCAGTTTAGAGTCTCTATAACCTGTTAGTGAATGGACAGAGAATTGCTTGCCGATAGGTGGTATGGAGAGGAGAGGGGAGACAGACTGCAGTAGATGAGTCCTGGGTACTCCTAGTAAGATGGAGATACAAGGTTGTGAGCCTTCTCAGGAAGCCTGCCCCTGCAGTTTTCTTGCAGAGTCTCCGTCTCCTGACCTTTGAAGCTCTTGTTATCACTGGACAGCTGCTTGATTTCCTAGAACTTCTAACTGGACGTTCTTGACGTGAGCACAGCCTCTGCCAAGAGTTTGCGAATGCGCTTATTCCAGAGAGATCTTGACTTTTGGTTTTGCTTAAAATCCTTTTGTGTTCAGAATTTCTCAGAAAAAAATGTAAATAAAACAAAGCCAGTTCTCTGTCTTGGAAACTATGCTAGCGGTCACTACTCTCCACTTTCCTGGTTCATAAAAGTCACCCATAGGTGGGCAGAGCCCTAAGCTCACGGGAGAAATATTTCAGGTCTAGAGTCCTAAAACCCTAATAGAGATGACTCCTATTTAAAGTGTCCTGGAGATAAAGAAAATAATCAGATAAATGGTACTCTTTGGTACCTAGTTAAATTTTTCATTCACTTCACATTCTTAAGTGGGCAAGGGGTTGGCCTGACATTTCTCTCTGACATGGTCTGCATATATTATATATACTTGGAATACTCATTATAACCTTGCAGCAGAAATGACTGCCCCCACTTTGAAGACGTAAACAGCAGTACTGGGGAGTTAGAAAATAGTCTTTACTTTACCTAAGTGATAGAAAAATAGTCTTCAAAAATACAGTGCTAAACTTACGGGTTTGTATTAAAGCAAAATTGTATATACAGTAAGGCAACACTTCTACTACCACCCTGCAATAATTACCGGTTAGATTAAAATTAGTCTTTGGGAGTTTGTTTTCTACTAAGAAAATATTAGGGTGTATAACGAATCATCCGTCCTGCTGAAATGAAGCAAGGAAAACATTTGAAAATGGTTCATCACGTGGAATTCATTGGCCTTATTTTGTAAGAAAATTTTATTCCCTCAAACTATACACTCAAGAGGCCTTAGAAAGAAATAACATTTAGGCAGGATAAACCATTCTTGACACACTCAAATTACTTTAAGAAAAAAAAAATGGGACCTGATTTCATTTGCATACAGACAAAGGGTCAGTAAGGTACAGGGACTGTTGTAAACAATTTGGCTGGTGTCCTGGAATGTATCCGTTCAGAAAAGGGTTATACTTGGACCATCCGAATCAAATGAAGGAGGAGTGTAAAGGCTTAGCCATCCGTTTTGAAAAGCTATTTTGTGGCATTTTCAACATCATCTTACGCTAAGTCATTTTGACTGTTTTATACCTCTACCACAAGCCAAATCTATTGCAGAGGCTATACCTGTTGGCACCATCCCTCAAGAATGGTAAACAATGTGCTTTTATTTCATTGAATACATTATATATATACACATATATATGCATATATATGTACATATATATTACTAATAGCAAAGAGCAAGTCTACACATCACAGCATACACGATCGACTGTTCTGGAGACCAGCTGCTGAGGGAAGGCAGGAGCTGAAATGCGAGCATGTAAAGGAGTGAAGTAGTGTGTTATTTTACCCACATCCTGAAACATTTGCTAGCAGACCGCGTTCATCCATGACTCTGTAGTGTTACCTGAAGAGAAATCACATTTTAGCCAATCGTTGCACGAGTCTAGCTATCAGTGAAAGGAGTGCATGAAGCATGTAGGATCCAGGTAATCCAACCTGCCCAGTTGGAGTCTGCAGTTGCTTGCGCTGGCAGCCAAGCTGGCCAGATCTTTCTCAGACTGATTCTGTTCGAGCGATGGTGGAGCCCTCTTGGCTGAATCCCCCAGCAAAGCTGTGTTCTGAGCTCGGGAATCTGGCACTAACACCAGGATGTTGTCATCCACAACCCCAGACACCTTGGCGTACTCCTTGCTGGTTTCAGGAAGCCCGGGCTTCTCCATCTGGATGTTTTCTTTCTGTTTGGGAAACAATGATAGTACTCCATCTTTGTTGACTTCGTGAATCTCCACATAATCTGGGGGTTTAGCATAGACAATGGGGCCTTTCTCCTGGAGCAGGGGCCATGATGCGTTTTGTTTAGTTTTAGAATGGAAGCTTTTCGTCTCCTCATGCTCCTCCACCTCTTCCTCTTCAGTTTCAAGGGTTTTAGAAAATTTTAGAAGATGTTTTCCTGCTTGGTCCAGGAAAGAGGCGAGCGTATCTACAGGACCTCCAGCGAGCTTGCCCACATCAGCAGTGCTGTGATAAGGAGACCTGGTCATGTGTTGGCCAGGCAGCAAAGGCCATGTTGAAGATTTGGATACATCTGCGTGAAAATAGGGGACGCTGCTTTGGGGGTCCTGGGCGGGAGGGATATTTGCTTCAGGATTCTCTGGCTTCTCAATGATTTCAGGAATGTGGAAAGCGGGTGGGTAGGCCTGGGGCTCCTCACACTTTTCAGACAGAAGAGAATGGCTGTCATAGCTTCCGTGACCCGAGTCACTGTCGGGGTCTAGGTGCGTGGGTTTCCCACCTTGGCCTGGGAACTCTTTGGAACGAGAGGGCATTAGCTGTACGTCCTCATTGTCATCCACCTCTAAGAACTCCACCAGCAAGTCCTCAGAGTCAGAAGTGGGGGGGAAGTCTTGGCATCCTAAGGCACTCAGGAGTTCTTCAGACTTGCCCTTCTATTGAAACACAGACACAAGGAGAGATGGCTGTTAGCTTCAGCGCACGCCACCCTTGGCCTCACAGCTGAGCGGTATCTGAGCAGAGTAAAGGGGCTTTGCTCCTGGGGCCGGAGCCAGGCGGTATCTTGCTTAGTCTTGGAACGGAAGCTTTCCACCTCCTACTGCTCAGCGGCAGGGTCTGTGGGGAGTCTCACAGTATCCCACCCCCAGACTGCAGACACATGTGTCAGGTCATCTACAAACACCTTTTGGGTCCTACTCACCAAATTCCTTTTCTTTAATCTTTCATACTTTTTCTTTGTCTCTAATAGTGGCTATGAACTCAACGGGAAAGTACTATAAGACTCAATGTATGATAAACATATAACTATGAAACCAAAGTGTCTTGTGAAACATTTGAAGTCGTAGTGTCTGTGCATACACCTGACTGCTACTCAATGGCAGGGTAGTTGTGAGATGCAGTGACTGGTCTCCTAGCCTCTTCTACCACATTCTAGAGTGTGATAACAGTGAATTGGCCTTAGCTCTGGCTTCTCATACCACCCCATTTCCGTCCCCTTTCCCACCTCTTATGATTTTCCATCTCTCCTTTCCTTTCTCTTCTTCAAGTTTTCTATTTTTTCTTTATTTCTTTCATCTCCTACCTTCTCCTCTCTCTTTCTCCTATTCCACCTCTCTCTCTCTCTCTCTCTCTCTCTCTCTCTCTCTCTCTCTCTCTCTCTCCTCATCCGGTCTCTTTTTACTTCTCCTCTTCTCCCAAGTCCTCTGGCTTAGGTCACAGGCCCAAGCCTGTGATAAAAGCCAAAAGCCTTGGCTTTTATCCTTTACCAGGTAGATATGACTTTGCATAGGTTGCGCGCCAATTTTATAATGGTAGTAATATCATTTATCTGCCAGGGTTCTTATGAAGTTTAGAGAGAAGGCAAGAAAGAATATAAACAGTATAACCATAGGGTAACCATTTATCATTAGGTCTCCATGGCTAGCAGGTTTAGCTATGAGATAGACATTAGGTAACTTGCTTAGCTGAGACACTGCTGTGGGCTTTATAAAAGTCAATAGTAGACTCAACAGTGGGTAAGATCCCTGGACCAGAAACCCAAACTCCTTAGCTCTAGTCCTTGTAGTTACAATCAAAGTGATTTTGAAAGACAGGTCAAATTCACTTTTCACATTCTTATAAGTATAATAAACAATCACATCAACCGGCATTGACTTTTATATCCAGGTGATGGCTTTTCTTCACATCACTGTTAAGGTCAGATTGAAACTACACATTTCAACCCAGAGAGAAATGCTTTAATTCTGTCTCAATCAGTCTAGTGTGCTTTGGGAAACACCAGCCCATAGAGTACTGATCTACTGATCACTCAAATGGGAGCACAGGGACAATGGAAAATTCTGTCACAGTGGCTTTGTAAAGAATATTGAAATGGAAGCTTGGACTCGCGTAAGGGAGACGGTGGTAGTGAGCATTAGTTAAAATGTCTGCTCTCTCTCTCTAAACTCATTATTTGAAAACGGCCATCTCTGTCTTCAAGAACAGTCCTGGGCAATGTAACATGCCTCCCCATGAGTTTGGATGTCTCCGAGCTGTCTTTCTTTGCTCTGTGACTTTTAGAATATGATGATGAACACAGTCATCCCAAACACTTCCTTCTGTTAATATACATGCTGACGAGGATGGGCGACCGGAAAGGGATGAGGGCCAGGTTGGATTGATGAGGACTGAGCGGGCGTATGTAAACTAATTACCACCAAGCAGTGAGTCACATCACACTCTCTGCTTCTGACACTCACCTCCAGCAGATGAGTATCAAATCCTTTTATTTTTGGCCCGGGAACTGGTGGAAAGATGCAGGTCATCATGCTATAAAATAATTCATGAGAGTGGACAAATGACTCATATTTCATTATAATATTTGAAAGAGATTCCCGCCCCCCTCTCCCAGTTCCCAAACAGTTGATGCTTGGGCTATAAGAGGTAGAATTCTAGGGCAGTATGAAAGTAGCGGTAAATGCCAGAGGTAGTGGTGGAGACGCACACTACGCCTTTGCTGGCTAATTCTGAAAGCTAATTTCAAGCTACTGGTTTATTTGTTCTAATTGATTCTTCCAGCGTTAGCTGCTTTTGCCAGATTTCCACAATTTTATAGCTCTAAGTTCCTATTTTATAGAAAGAACACTAGATTCAAAAAGTATATTTTTAAATACTCTTTAAAAACCCATTGATAAAAGATTACCTTTTTTTGTACTAGAAAAAATGCTAGCACTAATGGATAAATAAGGTACTTAGGCTGTCTGCTGGTTTCCGTCATCTTTATATCGGTGCTTTTTGTCATTATTCCAGATAATAATGCCTGAGAGGAGAGCTGGGAGACAGTGTAGTACCTATAGCCTTTCAAAGCTACTGCCCAGACCATAATCAAACAGATGACAGCGGAGAGAATGGCCACAATGATCCACACGGTTGTATCTTTTAGGGTGAAGTCTAAAAAACAAACAGCCAGAGAGCTTTGATCACGTATAATATCAACATTAAAAACCAACTAGCCAACCAAAATAACACCTGCAAACTTGGACTCAAGATTTTGTCTTCCTACTTGTATTTCTTGACTTGAAAAGCAATTCATCAACAGAAGGTACATGTAAGCTAGACAGGGAGGTCAGAATGAATGACCAGTGAGTCCTTGGAGGACATTTTAGATTTATATCTGTAACTTTGTTCTAGAAACTGATGTTTGGAAACTATGATTCAGGCAGTAATACAGCTCTTCCAAATGTCTTTTTGTTAGATTAAGAGATGATAATCACATCTCTACCTACTTTTTTAGATAGGGCACAAAATAGTTTCTGTATTATTAGTAGCTATTACATGCAGTTTTATTGCTAGTGATATATACATATAGGGGGAAAGTATAGTCAAAACACTCACCCCTGGGTATTTCAATGGAATTCTCTTGGCCCCATCTACTCCAGTATCCATGGTCTGGCTTGCAGCGTGTCTGGACAAAGTATTTTTGTCCTGGATATAAGTCAAAAACCTTAAAATGTGTTTGCTGCCCTGTAAAATGGTTCTAAGGAAAAAACAAGAAAAACAGAAATCACCTCTGACTCTTGTTATGATAAAAGAGGTTTTTCTTTTACATAAGTTAATGGGGAGTTAGGTAGATATGGCTATGCTTAGAGGATGCCTTCTTTTCATTGCTCTGTTCTATCCTTTCCTTCTTCCTCTTACAACTTTCTCATAAGAATTTAAAAGGTAGCCGGGTGGTGGTGGTACACGCCTTTAGTCCCAGCACTCAGGAAACAGAGGCAGGCAGATCTTTGTGAGTTTGAGGCCAGCCTGGTCTACAAGAGCTAGTTCCAGGACAGGCCCCAAAGCTACAGAGAAACACTGTCTCAAACAAACAAACAAACAAACAAACAAATAAACAAGGTCTTCTATGTCTCTATTTGAAATTCTATTTCAGAAAGACAATTCCCACCCCTCACCAGTTTACTTAATAAAAGACAAGATTCTTGCTAGCAAATTAGTACATACATATAAGAGATAATAAAATTACTAGTTTACAAATTCCAATGGAGTAATTGGTTTAAAGGATTATTAGTTGGTGTAAAAACTACTAGGTGGAAGGAATCCAACTCTTCATGAACGTTGAAGTGATTGTACACAAATAGAATGTTATTTAGCAAGGAAGCCATCAGGTTTCTACCTTCCTAGTCTAGGACTCAGATTTAGTATCAATTATACTAGGTCGATCAGATGACTTGATGATGCTGATGATGGAGAAAATAGTACGAAGTTTATACCAATTACTTATTGAGCATGTTGAGCTACATGTATTCCACCTGATTCTACTCAAGCCCTGGAATCTAAAGTATGATTGCAGACAGTACAGGAGCCGAGATATTAGCTAAGTGAATATACAAAGAACTAATAAAAGGTGAATATTGTGGGACATCCTTCTGAACAAGTACCCTCCTCTTCCCACTACATCAAAAATGTCTTGGAGTAGACTTAGTTTGGATTAACCAGCTATTAAAGATATATACACACACACACACACACACACACACACACACACACACACACACACTTAGGAAACTGAGACAGGGAGGATTAAAATATAGACTACTTTATTTTCTTTAGGAATTTTAATTACCTTTTTAAAAATGTGTGATCCTATAATTTTGACTATGTTTCTAAATGTCTCATTTTCAACAGGGACACAGGGTAGTATACCATTATGCCTGTAATTGCAGCATTATCATTTTACACTGAACTATTACAAAGCATTTCCTTAAAAGCACTGACCATGGGCTTTTAAACTGACTCTCTTGCCTCCAGGCTCAGTATAGTTTATAGTTTATATCCAGAGGCTGTCTGAGATATACTTAGGTAGGTAAATTGGGAACCGAAGAGGAAACCTGTCCGGTACAAGCAACTGTCTTTGTAAGAGTTGTGAATATGACATCTTTCAATCTCAGTCGAAGGGAGGAGGCATTCCTTGCAGGGCTGTGTCTGCAAGGGAATACCCACAACAATTGGGGAAATGCTCTGCTCCGTTGTGAAGGGTTATCCCCGCCGAAGGACACGGGTCCCCCAATAAACTTCACTCTGACTCACCTCCCACTCATCGGCCCCTTCGGACTTTAACCGAATTTCATATTCCATTGTAAACCAGCCAGTTTTCACATCAGTTATGTTGGGTGGGGACCATCTAATCCACAAATATGTCTTCTTGTCTTTCAGCTGTCTCACTTCTAAAGTCAGGTTCCGAGGAGGCTCTGGCTCAACTGTGGATGTAAAAGACATCTTTAGTTTCCCTCACGGCTTGGGCCTTCTCTTGGACCCTACTGTTTTCTGTCATGGCTTCTATTTCTGTCGGTCCCCTTTCTCCACTGCATGAGAAGCTCCCAGAGGATATAATCAATTCCTTCTTCCTCTTGACATGTGATCAGTCACGTTTGAACTTGACGATGGGGTTTGAAAAGTAGCAACAACAACAAAATATCTCAGCAACTGAGATTTTGCTTTGGCTGTATTCTCCACTTTCTTTCAGCCAGGTTCATACGCATGTGCACGTTTTCCCCCTAACAGCAATGTCCATGTGATAATAACTGGGGCGGGAGTTACAAGTTGAGATTGCTATAGGAGATGCTTGGGAAAGACATTTGGAAGGGTTAATTTGCCTGAGTTGGGAGCAACCATTTCCTTGAAAGCCTGCACATCTTTCTGTGCATCACCCATGCATATTTGCAACTTTGCAGGTAAGAAGTTTATGGATTTTTTGCCTTCAGTTCATCAAGTATATTTTACACTCAGAGTATACATCACTCTCTGTGGAGGGCAGACTTCTTCCTGACAGATAGTAAATGGTTAACAAGTGCCTAACTTGTCCTTTTGGAGAGTGTTCCTTTGAGTAACCCTCAAGCAGCTTGCTGCCCCATTTATTCAGTCCCCAAATGTTTACTGAATTCCCACTAGCAAAACCTTGTCATTTCTTGAATGCATACTACATGCCATGAATTAAAACAATACTCTAACAGTGAATCATCACTTAATCCCTTCCCCAAATGTCATGAGCCTGTATTACTGGGCCCCTTTGGTAGAAGAGAAATGAAAAGAGGAACAATTCCTGGACTAAAGTCACATCTTCAGTAATGAGTGTTAATTGAAACTTAGAAGCGGCTTTTATTTTGAAACAATTTTTAAACAGTGTTTTCCCTGTAGGCTGCAGCAAGAATTAGCTAATGTGTATGCAACATTCTAAATGAACTAATGCCATGAATTACACAGCTTAATATGATTTTAAGAAGATAATTTTTGTTATATGTATTTTACTACAATTAAAAATAATCAAAGGAAGCACTTACTCTCAGATTCCTCCAACGATGGGCCTTGGGACTACCTCTCTAAGAGTGAAACACCTAGTGGGCTGTGATGCTCAGCTGAAGATGCAACAACACCTGCATCAAACCCCTCTCCCCTGGGCTCTTGAAATAGCACAAGAGGGGCTAGGAAAAATGTAAGAGCGGGAAGGCGGGGAAGGGTGCTGTGAATTGCTGTCTTTTGGGCAAGACTTGGCTGCTACGCACATGAAACCACAGCTACTGTGACTTCCTGTCAAGGATCTGGAGGAGATCAAATAAGTTCAAACTTCAAGCATGGAGGGGGAGGGGCCCCTGAGGTCTCATCCCTAGCTGAAGAGCGACTGGCCATTGGTGGAGGCTGGAGGAGCGGGAAGTCACTTCTCTTTGGGGTGTGGCTATTGCGTGTTGCTCATGCCTCATTGGATGACCCTGTATGGCCAGCACTAATTGGACTCAGTGTGTTATTAAAAACATAACAGCAAGGTAAGCAAGAATGAGGACGTGAAGTTGGGAGGGAGATGTGTGACAGCTGCAGTGGCTTGACCTGCTTTCTGTTGTTAGTGGTACTGCTTCTATGGGGAAGCCTTGAATAATTTCAAACCTTACTAGGTACTTCATAAATTATTATCTAAACATTATTCTCCTCATCCTATCTATTCTCCTACTAGTCTATTTATCATCTGTGCTAAACCATAAAGGCCATTACAGCTGTGTCCAATTGCTCCACTACAAAATGCTGATCATGCAAAGCAAGAACCTATCTCCAATTGACGGCTCTACTTTGTGGATGCTTTCTCCAGATAACACATAAGTGACCAGACTTTTGACAAGTTACTTCTTCCTGTTGCTATTATTATTTTTATTACATTTTGGGGATACTTGAAACTCGGGCTTTTTTATTTATACCAGGCAGCATCCTTCCATGAACCCATACCCCCATCACCCTGGCAGATTATTTGTCTAAGAATAACTCAAAGTATAGTGAAGTAGATACACTCTTGTGGAGAGCTTAGTTTCACTCAGAGTATTTGGGATGAATCCTGTAAATTCCGAACCAGAAGATCCTTCAAAAGACCTTCATTTCTGAAGAGTATCCTGTCTTCCATAAGGAGAAAGAAAAGACATTTGGAGCTATTAGTTTAGCTCAGTGGGAGAGTGCTTGCCCTCATCCCCAGCTCTGGGTTTCATCTCCAGCACACCCCCAGCAAAAAGAAAACAAATTTGAGTTGGCTAGTAAAAGAGGCAACATGGTTGAAGGGAGAGGGCCAGGGGAGCTATTATTAATAAAGGAGGCATGCAGAACACCCACACTGGATATAAGGCACTAGGATTAGAGTTGAGGAGAAATAAGAGAACATGAAGATCCCAAGTACTAATCTTGTTGTCAAGAATCAATGCTGTTGATGTGAAATGCTCGCTCAGCAAAGATGCCATGAGTTCTTGCACTTTTCTTATCTAGGATTCATCCATAAGCCAGAAAGACTCAATTTGAGTTTGACTTTTGATCATAACATCACATCACATCACATCACATCACATCACATCACATCACATCACATCACATCACATCACATCACATAAAATAACGGTAACATATTCCTCACCCACTCCCCCCTTACCTATGTAAGTCACATCTACATAAAGTGGATCCGAAGCACTGCTTCCCATTTGATTGGTAGCATTTACTGTGATGACGTAGATTTTCCATATGGAAGTATACTGCTTGCTAAAGAAACAGGAGTTGGGGCCACTGGTTTTGTAGTCCGGACATTCATGGGTAGTTTTCTCTCTGCAACAAGTCATGCGTTAAGAGTGAATAAGAGAACAAGTCTCGTTTTGTTCTTAAAGGATGAATACTACTGGATTTTGGGGATGAGGTGCTCAAAGTACAAGAATAAAGCAGAAAAATATAGCTCTGTGCCCTACGCAGACTGGTTGGGAGGGAGCAGGTTAGCATCCCAGTTCTCTGCTGCTCACTCACCCTTCTTTCCTGCAGGTGTCCCTATGAACCTCGTGAATGGTCCTCCTGAGTTACCAGTGACCAAGGCGCACTCACAGCAATGGTACTATCATTGGTCACCTTGGGCAGTTGGAACTTTTGTTAGCACACATTCATATTATGGGATCATCCATATTGCAGCTCTGGTCACACAAGCCTGTCAAGCTACATGTGGATAACAGCATTTAGGAGGAGACACACTGACATCAGAACACATTAGACGGTGTCAAACAAGCAACAAGAGTGAAGTGTCTTGAAAGGAGATCCTTCTGCCTTACGGGGCTCACTAAGTTGCTCGCATCTTAACAACCTCAACTCCATTCGTACCACACAGGTTTTGGAGGCTGCTTCAGCTCTGCGTTCATTAAGTATTTGTGCCACGGCTCTTTGGATCCCACACAGAAGGCCAGCTTTGTGTACAAGCAATGGAAACTGGCAATGGCTATCTCTGTTGGTAATATTTTATTGTTAGGTCCAAGATATGGAAATGTACTTTTTGCTAAACTAACCTTTCTATAGCTCATTTAAGATTTCTAGGAGAGTCTCATTGTGAAGTCATCAAAATTATCATCTAGAGATGATCTTATTTTGCCCTCATGGCAATGTTAAATTTAACAATGCCTTTCAGGAGACCTTGAATTTTATTGTTTTGCTGTGTTTGAAATAGGGGTTTTCTATGTAGCTCAGGCTGACTTTGAACTTGTCATCTTCTTGCATCAGCGTCCAGAATGCTGGGGTTACAGATGTGTGTTACCATGACTTTTAGCTTTTAGATCAGCAACTTACTTAAAAAAAAACAAACAGCCCTCAAATTCTTTTTCTTAAAGGTTATTTATTCTCTTGGGCATGAAACACATTTGAAAACCTAACGTACCGTGGCTGCCAAAGATCACACACACACACACACACACACACACACACACACACACACACAGCTTATATAATTCTGTTATATTGTAAAAGTAGTGTATTAACTAAAAAAAAAAACAACCAAAAACCAAGTAAACAAAAAACTATAAAACTATAAATGTCATGTGGTTTATGGACGAGCACCTAAGATCAGCCAATCTATAGGAAATGATGACTTGGTCTGCAATCTAAGTTTGGGACAGACATTTGGAAACATGGCTAATATTATAACGCTACTGATCAATGTGCATTTGAAGACTGAGTTTGTAAAAAACTTTTAGAGAACAAGACGGGCTAGAGACATTAGATTCCTTTCCTGGTGTTATGAACCTTATTGATATAAATCCAGAAAAGCCTGGTATTTATAATAAGAACTAATGTAACTAGGGCCCGGAGCGTGAGCACTCTGGTGGGGTTTGATGAGGTACAAGAGAGCTTTTTACCCTTCTTTGCTGTAAGTCAGCGAGTAATTGGTAGGAAGTCCTCCATCTGTCCCAGGATTCCACCAGCAGGTGAATGTTTCCTTGTCGGGAGAACGGCATTTGTGGATCTCAGGTTTTCCAGGTGGTGATTGTCCTAAACCAAAACCAGCCATAAGCCATTTGAGTTAACACTGCGGTCCATTCAACTGCTTACCTGAGCTGCTAGTAACAGAGACAGATTACTGGCGCCCTGGATGTGAGGAGGCCTTGGCGCATTGTTCAGAAAAGTCACTGCATTAGTGGCCAGCTGTGACAAAAATTTCACTGAAAAGTGAGTCTGAGGAAAAAGAGGTGGGTGCATATGGAGACTATGGAGCTAGCCCTTCTCATGGAGCTTGTGTAGCATTAGGATTGCCCTCCGAAGCATTCTTCCCCAGTGACAACTGCCCTGTGCATACGCGCATGCATGCACGCGCGCGCGCGCGCACACACACACACACACACACACAGAGAGAGAGAGAGAGAGAGAGAGAGAGAGAGAGAGAGAGACCCTCAGAAGCTGTCAGCTGCCAGTAGTGCTTCAGTTAGGGATGGGAACTCAGGAGCCCTTCCCTTCTCCATGTTGGACTGTGGACTGGCTTGATCTTGTGCCATCTGCATACAGCCTTAGCTGCTGTGAAGTTATGAGTACAGTGGTTCTTCCAGGTCCAGAAGTCACGGTTTCACTTCAGTCTTCCTTGACTTCTGGTTTTCACAGTCTTTCCATCCCCTCCTCCCAATGGTTCCTGAACCGTGTGTGTGTGTGTGTGTGTGTGTGTGTGTGTAATCCCCGTGGCTAAGCACTCGACAGACTAATGGTCCACATTCTTTATCTCCTAATTCTTCCTATTCTTATTTTCTGAACCTTGGTTTTTAGTCTCCTTTTGAATTTACCCCCACCTCCTCTTTCTTGGACTCCCCCGTTTTGGTTCTTTCTATGAGTAGGTGATCTCAAACTTCCTTGCAGTTCTGTGGATCTTCAGGAATCGGGTAGTAGGGTAAGAGGTAGTGGAGCGGGTGGTCACCCTCTAAGTGGGGAGCAACCATGGTTAGATAAGGCACATCCCCACTGTCAGCGACAGAAGTGAGAAGATCTGCAGGGGGTGATGTGGCCGAGGGGATGAGCATTTTCACCAGCTTAATCTCCAGAGCTCTTGGGAAGCTGACCTCCAGCTCTCTTGCTTGGCTGTTATGTTGAAAGAGGAACAGAATAACCTTGGGATTTTGCCATGATGCTGTTGGTTTGAGAGGCCAACCATAACTGACATTATATCTCATTTCACTATTGTTTTCGCCCTGCTTGAAGATTTAATGCTAAATTCATGAGTAGAAAGATTTTTCTTTCAGAGGTTGGTGTGAGTAGCTCGGGGGTCTTTTATATCTTTTCCCACGTCTATTCAATCTTTCATATAAGCTCTTAGGATGGAACGTTATTTAGTCCAGGAGAACAGGTCATGAAGATTATGGCAAAGGAATCATGGATGAGTAAAGCGCTCTATGTACAATCTATCCAGAGAGTATAATTTAATGGGCCTAGTGTGATGAACCGGATGGGGTCGTGGAAAGAAGGCTGGCCAGTCAGTGGTGACAGAGTGTCACAGTAGATCACGGAATTGCTGGAAAGCATCTGTGTGAGCCTTGTGTGTCTACCAATTTGGAGGACTGCCCTAGTGATGCTGGGAATCATTGCAAAAGCACAAGCTTTCTTTTTCTTGTTTGTTTCTGTCATGCGTGAGGAGAAACATGAAATGTAGAGAGAAATATTCATTAAAAAGAAGTCCCAAACTATCAGGGCATGTTGATGCATGTCATTAATCCCAGTACTCAGAATCGGAAGCAGGTGGATTTCTGAGTTTGAGGTCAGCCTGCTCTACAAAGAGAACTCTAGGATGGCCAAGGCTATACAGAGAACTCCTGTGTTGAAGAAAGAACAAGCCAACCAGACACCAAACACTAAGCAAACAGGCAAAAAGAACCAACCCCTATTGCTGTCAATCTTCAAACTCTGTGGCTCAATAGTGGGTCTACTTGAAGCTGGTCAGGGCCGCTGTTGGTTATTTGAGCACTTAAGAGTTTCTTTTATGGGTGTATCAATATTTTTACTTCTCTCCCCTCTTTCTGTTTCTCCCCTCTCTCCCCTCCCTCTGAACTTCTCTTTTCTGCATTTTTACTTGCTATTAATAACACTTTTAGGAAACTTGAGGGAAAAAGGCAAGGTTATGAAATTACAACCACTCAGATGTTATTTTCATGCCCCTTGAGAAAACCAACTTCATGGATTATCTCAGTGAACAGACACAAGGGATATTATACAAGTCCAAATGCGGAGTCTTGCTTGCATAGATTTCACATCAGAAATAAGCATACACATAATGCATTGCACCCATATAAGATATATCCAGAGAGAAATAAATGCATGCAAGCGCATAACGCTGGCAGCGTACACTGGTGTGCATAACACAACACGTAATACACAGAGGTTCCTCATTGCCATCCACACACACATACATACACAGATACAGAAGAATTTGCTATTAGGTACTATACGCAGCTGGCGTGTACACAGGTGCATTCAGAAGCACACCCCCCCAGAAGGACACGGAAGTAGATGTGGAAACCTACGCAGACAATCACACACCTTCCTTTTAGCTGCGGTTTTTGTTTCTCTTATAAGCATACATGGGTTATGCCCGTTTTCCACCTTGTCATGCAATCGCTTGCGTGCTCTTACAGTTTTTCAAAGGTCTTTTCACATACATGATTTCATCTGAAGCTTGTGAGATATCCCTATCCTCCCTCGGAGAAATTAAAAACAGGGAAGCAGACAAGTGGTTCGAATCACGTAGCTAGTAACTATCCCCTGGATGGGAACTCAGTTCCCGTCATCCCCTGCGCCCTTTCAGTCCACTCTCAAAATCGGGAATGGGAGAGAGGGAACACACTGATGAGATTTTGCATTAATTTTAATACAGAAATGTGGCAAACAATTTTGTAGCAGCAAATGACACGAACATTTTCATTTCTCATAACTGCATTGCAACAGATCGAGAAAGCCTCTTACCCCCCCCCCCCCCCGCCACCCCTAAGCACTCCAGGCAAGGAGAGTGAGAACTGAGTCTCTTACCATTCAGAAGGCTGATGTTGAGAAAAAGTAGGATGAAAGCAAGGACAGATGTCATGTTTTCCTGCATGCTGGCCCCTGTTTCTTGCTACAGGGAATGTATCAGAGGCTCCCTGGAAGAGAAAACACCGGGTAGCATTTGTTAAATTACAGCCCGTCAGGCACACTTTACTCTGGGTGCTTGCAACCGATCCTTGCTCCTTGCTTGATGTGACCGACAAAAACAGCGGGAAGAGAGCGTAGGAAAATGTAACATGGGATGGCTTGGTTAAGAAGCACCGATTCCCACATGCTGGCAAGGATTTCACCACAAGAGGTCGTCAGACAACAATGTAGGGAGCTCACAGGAAATCCAAACTGTGGGCTTTTGATTTGTTTCGGTTTTGCTTTCTGCACTCACCGAAGTTGTTTTGTTTCCACCCCACCGTTCAGGTAGCTAATAGCACATCACCCATTTATGTAACATTGTGTGCCCTGCAAGAGAGCCATTCAAGAAGCGTTCTGGCTCCACTATTCCGAGATACTGCCAGACTGGGAGTGGGAGGGTCGGGGTGGAGGTTCCTGTCTAAGTTCAGGCTAAGAGGGTTCTGGAAGTCTCCAGGGATATGGCTGTGGCTATGAAGCAAACCTCCTAATGAATTTTAGTGACCCTCCATGTGGCTTCTTTCTCCTTTCGGTAAAGCCCCATAGGAGACAATGAACTCCAGTAATAATTCAAATCTCTTGGGTTCAGAGTAATAAGTCAATTTTGAACCTGCAGGGCTTGAGAGTTTTGAGCAATTTAATATTAATAATATTATTTTTACTCTTGGAACAGTTTTCAAAGCCTCTTATGTTCCTTCCTTAAAAAATTCTTATGTTCCTTCCTTAAAAAAAAAGCTCATTAGTCTTATTAGACTTCAAACATTGCTCAGAAAACAATAGATTTGATGAGCTACGTGTAAATTTCCAGAAACACATGGTTTTAATCTCCCTTTAAATTATATTTTTAAATCAAGGGAAGAATATCTAGGAGGCAAAGTTGCCCGTGTTAGGCCATGTGAAGAACTGCTTGATGGGTCCCTAAGGGACCAGAATTTGTCTGTTCCTCCTGTTCTGGAAAGCCCTCTACCTGTCAAACATGTATTACTCAATGGGCAACTTTTTGGAGGTGGTTTTACACCTGCCACTACTGCTTGTGGCATCACTCGGAAATAGACATTTTAGTGACACTGGAAGGTTGGGGTGTGCCGGCACCAACAAGTTGTGCCCTTACATTGAAGATTGTGGTTCAGAGTTTTGCTGACTCACTAACGGGCCCAGCAAAGTGCTGGAGACCTTTCACTTGCTTTGCCTGGATTCCTTACCCTCCCTAAGTAGCACATTTTCAATCTAACCTGCTTCTTTTAATTTCTTGGGGATTGTTTCTTTAAACCAAGTGGTCAAAGGCTTCTAATGGGTTTTAAATGATGCCTTTATAGTTCAGATGCTGGGCTGAGCCATCTCTTGAATTTCATTTTGTCCTTTCTGTGGCCCTGTGAGTAGATGCTGCTTCCCACCTCCCACCCCATTGTAACAGATATGGAAAATGAATATAGAGAAACAGCTTAATAGGCGGTCAGTCACGTGCTAACAGGAGAGCAATCTGTCAAATCCCACAGCATCTGAGAATCATGATTTGGGGGATATCTGTGATAGATAGCAAAATTGTCTCCTTCTGTAGGATAGATGCACGAGACAGGCACAATTGATCTTTGGAGAGAAGTAGGCCAAGACCTGGGTGAGCTGGAGCCGGAGAGCCAGAGCAGACATGAGGCTATCTCAGCGGCAGCTCTCCTTCTGGTTAATGGTCTCCAGTATTGATCTGTCTCAACTTCCTGTGCATCCTCATCCTGGCCCTCTTAGAAGCTCAGCCTGGCTGAGAAGTGCGTATTCTGCTGCCTGGCCGAAGACGTTCTATAACATCCCTTTATGGAGACTGCTTTATTCCTCTCGGCATCACATAAACAACACCTGAGATCACCATGCTGTAAATCACCCATCATGGGTGAGGCCAGAGAGCTCTGCCAGACAGGGCTTCCCGCCTGTTTTGCAAATGAAATACTAGGCTAGGAATCAGGGTACAAGGAGGCAGGAGTGGATTTAGTTGTTTGTGTGTATCAACTCTCCGGCTGGTGCAGAAACTTCTAATTTAAGTTTCTCCTTTGAAAAAGGCTATCAGAAGCTCCTTTAGGCACATGTAAAACAACTTTCTCTCACGATTTCCTGACACATGCTGGAATCTGGTCACACCCATGCATTTTCCAGTGCCCAAAGCTGACTGTGCCAAGGAATTAGACATGTTCCTAACGTGTTTTGAACAATGACTTTCCAACTCATTCTCTGTCTTACACTCTCTGGCAAGGTAGCTGAGGTGTGGCAAGTGAACTTTCAGAAGGAAACAGAATGGCAAATGTTCACTTTAAGTGAGGCGATGCTAATTGTTGACCCTGGTCAATGGTATGCAGTAACTTTGTCCTACCGTAGTGCATGCCCCCTGCTGACCCACACACCAGTCTTTGTGGTGAGCAGACCCTAGCCTAGAGACAGTTTTGGCTTTATCTCTCTGAATCAGTTATACACTGCAAGAAGAGCCTGGCCAAAAGCAGACTTGACCCTCCTTATTAACCACGTCATTTGGGGCTGGGATACTGAGGCCTCAGCTTTGCAGGGTGTTATCATGCAAGTATTTCAATATTTGGATTCAAATATTTAGAATCCAGTTAGCAAAAAGTCAGCCTTGCATACTCAGCCCAAGGATAGTCATCTTAGGATCCACACAGCTCCAGCTCCCTAAGCGTGGCTGTGGTGGGAAAGTGAAGTCTCTACCTATGAGCAGGTTTATGATGAGTTCCAAACTCCCGTCTGCTTTGTCCATGACTGCCTGATTTGGCTTCTTTACTTCAGATTCCTCAGACTCTGCCATCTCCAGGCCCCTTTCATCACCTTGTTCAGACTCTTCCCATGCTCCATGCTGCTGTGGCACAAATGCCAAGGGAACTTTTTAACCCTCTTCTTCCTAGGGCTGCTTTCTGTCTCAATGGTCCTATTTAGACCGACTCTTTCTAACCCCCCCCCCTTATTACCATTTTTCTAGCAAACCAACCCTCTTCCTCAGAGGCTAACTGCTGAGGTTGCAACTTACGATTTGCAATTTATGCAGTTCATTCTTTTGGGAAACTACAACTAATCCCTAGATGGAAAACCAGTCAGGGTCCCTTGGTCTTGGTTAGTGGTCCCACCCACATCATGGAAGGCATCCCATGGGAGAGGAGGCAGTATGACCATCCAGTGTTGAATAGGCGGGATCTGAACTCTCATGAGATCACCGCCTAATGCTGCCCCTCATCTTTTCTACTTAGACTTTCTCTGGGTGCACTGGTCCTCCTACTCTTTGAGATAATCAGTCAGAAAGTCCAAAGCCTCAGCTCTCCCATGGTGTGGGATTTGCTTCCACTGTAGGGTATTATAGGAGATTTCGACAGTTTCTGCTCCATGCTGCTTTTCTGTCCCTGTGGTCTCAGTTTCCTTAACCAGAGAAATGGACCCAACAGGCTAGATAGAGACTGTGAGGACCTTCTTAGCTCTTACAAGCCCAATCCTTGATAAACAAGCCAATTCAAGACTTACTTTAAGGAGTCAACCTCAAATATTCTGCAGTATGCTATCACCAAGGGAATAGATCTGCGCTGCCATCTGAGTTGCAGAAGAACACAGAAAGTAGCCTGGAAATAGAACTGGTGGCTCCTCCTACTCTCTACCTACCCCAGCAGTACTTTCCAGACTTCTATCATACAATTATTCCTGCCAACTTTTATATAATAGAATCATACCACAAGCATTGTAGGGGTGTGTGTGTCTGACTCCTGTCATCCCGCATTGTTGCATGATGTATTTTGGTTGTTGTATGCACTTTCACATCATTTATTTTCATTTCATTTCATTGAATGAAATACTATAATTTCTTCATTAATTCTACAGTTGGATGCTTGGGTTGTTTCTGGGGGTTTTTTTGGCAAACTTAAAAAATTGATTGAGAATTCCATATATGCATAAAGTACATTTTGACCAAACGTGCCTCTCCCCTTTTCCCTCCAATTTATCATCTACCCCCTCTGCCACTATTCCTTCTGAACTTCATGTGACTCTTTTTAACTCACGGAGTTCACTCAGTGCTGCCTGTACATGCATGGTTTTAGGGCAACCTGCAGGAGCACCGTCAGTTTTCTTCAGGGGTTACTAGCACTCGCTCCCCCAACAGTCAGGGTCATTATTATAAATAAGGAAGCCTTGCGGACATCATAATGCTCACCCACATTGGTTCTTCACTCTAAGTAGTTAGTCTGCTACCTGTCCTCCGTTCTGTCCATCAACCTAATTTACATTTCTAATATCTTTCTTGCCTACCTCCATGAAAGAAAACCTTCATGTTTCACAAACTAATTTCGAATACATCCATCTATTAAGGTATTAAGCAATATTAGGCCTTTTGTTTGGACTCCTCTGCTCATTGGATCACCTCACCTGCCCTAGGTACTAAATGATCAGAGGCTGAAGTAACCGGGAAAGAATCTCATGTATGCCCTTTGAAAAGTTTGATTTTTCTTTCCAAAACAGAATGTTAGCATTTAATTTGGAAAACAAGAGACATAATCTTCTCAGGATGGGGAGAAGAACAGAACGGATTAGCTGTTTTATACCACGATGAAGATTAAGATTGTTCTTATGCTGGATTTCAGAGCAATAGCTCTAGCTAGGAATAAGTACTCAGCACTTGGTTTATTAAAATGAATCCAGTGCAAAGATGCACACATCACATTGTGGTAATTTATCAGCGATTAGATTTCTCAGATCTGTCTCCCTGTGCAGTGCCGACCCGAGCCAACTCCCATTTGCACATGTGTTTGGTGATTTACCTAGGTCACCATGGCGGTGCTAAGGCTACTAGAAATAGTTAGGGAGACGTTTTCAAACACGTTTTCTGACTACTATGCCTTGCTTTCTTCCTGTTTCAAAAACCCAAGAGGTGCCTGAGAAGCCAATGTACTGCGTGCTATGCCCATGCTATGCAAGCAGATAGCTGTATCCTGTAAGA